CACACACACACACACACACACACACACACACACACACACACACACACACTACATGTATTGAAAAACCGAGGTCCGTGTCTGAAGTCCCAGAAATTGGGTGGTAATAAATTGGGTGGTAATAGTTGGGATAGGATCCTGCGCCAGGCTTATCCCGTCGACTCTCCCGTGGTCCAGATGATGTGTGGGTGGAGGTGTGCCGATTCGCCTCCTGAAGCTGTGGTTGCAACTCCTGAGTCATTGCCAGCCCTTCAGTCATCTCGAAGTGAGACCCCCCAAGCCTCACTCATGACCTCAGGGGCTCCTTTCTCTCCACCTTTCTCTCATTCCCACCTTCCCCGGAGACAGTCTTCAGGGCTTCCCTTCACACAGACCTCCAGCCACCACTTTCTACAGAGCAAGATCAGGTCCTCTTCGACCTGCCTCTAGTTAGCTACCCAGTGTCCAGTTACACCAGGTGACCCTCCTGCTCTCCGAACTCAGTCCACGTGGTCCAATTGCAGTGCCTTTGCCCAGAAGTCCCCTTCGCCTGGGATGCCCTTCCCCCTCATATCCACTTGTCCAAAACCTAATTATCCTTTAAGAGTCAGTTCAACTTGTGCCTCTCAGAGAGACAGAGGAAAGAGTCCTGGCTTGGGACGGAGGCCGGAGGCCAGCCTCTAGGCTCCCTCTGGGTGCAGTAGTTTGCTCTGGATGTAAATTCCATGAGGACAGGGACTGTGTCATTCTCCACTTCTACACTTGTCTTCGCGATGCTCGTGAATGCTTCACAGTACTTGCATATAGAAGACACCTAATAAACATCTGCGCCTAATAATTTTTTTTTTTAATGGATGAAACTCTGGTTCAGTCCTTTTTTCTCTCTACCGTTTCGGTTACTTCATCTTTAAATGGGTAGGGGTGTTGAACAGAATGGTCTTTGAGTTGCTCTTTGGGGGAAAAAAAAAATCACAAAACAAACCCCACCTAGCATTGCAGCTCCCTATGTCCCACCCACTGATTGTCTACCTTGGGGGCTAGGCCCTGGCCCGGGGCAGATGTGAAGGTCTGAGGCCCCTGAGGGTCAGAGAGCAGCACTGGGGCCACCAGTACCTGGGAGGGGGTCCTCTCATGCAGGACGAATCCACTCGCCTGCACAGCATGATGAATGTGCATTGAATCCAGCACCTTTCCATCCCCATTTCTCCGGTGGGAAAACTGAGGTTGGGGGTGAAGGGTGCCGACTCAAGATCACAAAGCCTAGGGCCCCGGCTGTCCTGGCCTCCTGCTTGCCCGCTCTAAGTGGAGCCCAGCTCCTCTGTCCAGCTAACGAGCCTCACCACAGCTTTCAAGGCTGTAACTGCCCCCTCCACCACCACAAGCGAGGCCTCAGGGGTGGGGTCTGGGTGAGCTCAGGCCTGGGCCTACATAGAGATAGGACCCCGCGGGTACCCACCCTCTTCGAGATTCATTTCACAGCAGGGGAGGCTCAGGCCCCAGAGAGCAAGGACTCGTCCAAGGTCGCAAGCTCGATCGCGGCAGGAAGGGAACCCAGGCGTCCGTCCGCCCAGCCTGGGCTTCTCAGGGGCGGGGGCAGCACCCGCGGTGCCAGGCGCTGCCGGCGGCGCAGAGGGTGCCGCGGGGGCGGGGTCAGCGGAAGGCGGGGCGCCGGGCACCGCGGCTGCCAACGCCACCGCGGCTGCCAACGCCTCCGCCGCGCTCAGGCTCTAGCTCCGCGCACTCCCTCCGCGGCCGCTGAGCCGAACGGACGCCCTCCGGGGCCGCGCCGCAGCCCTCCGCGCTCCCCCCTATCATGCCCCGGGCCCAGGCGGGGGCCGCCCAAGCAGCCAGGACACCATGCCCGAGGGCGGCGGTGGCGGCGACGGCGGGGAGGTGCCCGCGCTCATCCCGGACGGCGAGCCGCTGCGGGAGGAGGTACCGGCTCTGTGTGGTGGGGGCCGGAGCCGGGGCTGGAGCGGGAAGAGGGGGACAAGGGAAGGGGCGACCCCCGAGGCGGGGGCTGAGGAGGGAAGTCCGGAGACCCTGTGGCCAATGACGTCACTGGGGTAGCCTGCGTCCTGCAAGAGGTCCTGGGACCTAGGGGCCCACGTGGGGGTAGGGGTGGGGTTGGCTGGGAAGGGATATGGGGGCAACTCCCGCCCCCGACGCCCCCTCATCCTGCCTCGCCTTCCTGTGACGTCAGCACCTGGCCCCTGCGCGGCCCCATTCTGCAGCGCTGCCCCTCACCCCCAGAGCCCCGGGGTCAGGCCCCCAGGCACTCACGAGGTGCCGGGGCGGCGCCCGCAATGCAGCAGCGGTAGCGGGGACTCGGGGAGCGGGGAAAGGAGGGAGGGACTCGAGGGAGGAGGGGAAAGAGGGAGGGAGGTGGCCTTTGGTACCCCTTCTCCCTCCCCCTGAGGTGAGGCCCCAGGGCCCATCCTCCTGGTTGGGACCCTCAGAATGGCCCCTCCTCAGTCCTAGCCACGAAGAGGGTCTGCAGGGCTGTAGGGCCCAGTGTGGGGTGTTGGGGGTGGTGGGTGGTGAGTAGATCTCTGTGTGTGTTTCGGTGGACAGAGGTTGCTTGTGGGTGTGTGAATGTCAGTGCGTGCTCCGCACACCTCGAATGGGATATACGTGCCCTATAGGCAGGTGAGGGTCTGGTGGCTTGGGTGAAATGCTCACGTGTGGGTGCATGTGAGTGTATTGTCCTGCGGTGTGTGGGTCTCTCCCGGTAGTCTGTAGGGTGTGGGTGTCAGGTCGCAGTAGGGGTGGGGGCATGCGCACCGTGGTAGGTAAGGGGCTGCCGTGTCCCTGCGCTTCAGTGAATGTGTAACATTTATGTGCATCTGTGTCCTGTGGTGGGTGGGTTGGGGGAGGGGATGCGTGTGCACCTGTGCGCCAAGTTACAGTGGGGGAGGGGGGTTGCGCCCTGGGCTCTGGTGAGGGTCTGCTGCGCGCTGGATAGACAGGCAGTGGTCACATTCCCGGTGGGAGGTTCTTCCGTGAACTTAGGGTGGGCTGGGGGTCGCGGATGAGGGCAGGTGCATCCCTCTGGCCCGCAGGTCAGGTAGTGGTATGCCTCTGGTGGGCGGCTGCTCTGGGCTGGGGTGGGGACAGCTCCTCTCCTCCTGGTTTCTCACAGCCCGGTGGGGGTGGGACTGTGGGGCAAAAGGTGGCCCCTTAACCCCCCACCCCCGCGGCTTCCTCCAGACCACGTCTACCTTCTCCCCCTTTTCACCCCTTCTCTCTCCTTAGGCACCTGGGGATGAGGCAGGAGCCAGGCTGGCAGCCCGGGCCAGGGAGTGGTCCCTGCTGCCCAGCAGCTGTGTCCCGCCCCACCCCCAGCACAGACAGGGAGTGGAGGACGGCACTCCATCTGCTCCCCACCCCACCGCCCAGACTCACACCTCTCCCTCTCTTCCTCTTTCTTGTTTACTTGAAAGCCTTGCCCAAGTCTCCTGCTGTCCCTAGCGAGACCAAGGGACCAGAGGGAGTTGCAGGGTAACAGTAATAATATTTATTCCCATGGCCAGACCCTGTGCCAGGATCTTCACACATTATGATCTCGATGAATCCTCACAACAACCCCAGTTTACAGAGGAGGAAGTTGAGGTCCAGAGGGGATGAGGGAACTGCCCAAGTCATACAGTGAGGGGTGGAGCCAGCACCCAATCCTGGGCTCCTAAGCCCATGCTCTTCACCACTAGGACCCCTGCCACCCTGGCTTCCCACACCACCAGGTCCAGGAATCAGTGCCCAGAGAGGGCAGGGATATGGCCACAGTCACACAGCAAATCGGGAGCAAAGTCAGGACCAGAGCTCAGTTTTCTCAGTGGCCAGTCGTGGGGGAGAGGGGGGTCCTCTCCTCTTTTGGCAGAGATGGGTCTATTTTGTCCTACGTGCCCCTGACCGAGAGGTGACAGGGCATGGTGGAGGATAGGCTTGGGGCAGAGAGGCCTGGGTTTGAGTCCTGCAGCTCGACTGTCAGTTGGCTAGAAGGGTGAGGCCTGGAGCAAGTTGCCCCGTCCCTCAGAGCCTTGGTTTCCTCCTCTGTAAAGTGGGGGCACAGCACCACCTCCTTCAGGGGCTTCCGCAGAGCAGCAGGCACAGCTGACAGCTGCGTGCTGACCCACGCCTCTCCTCTCTCTGCCCACCCTGCAGCAGCGGCCCCTGAAACAGTCCCTGGGGAGCTCCCTGTGCCGCGAGTCGCACTGGAAGTGCCTGCTTCTCACACTGCTCATCCACGCCTGCGGCGCCGTGGTGGCCTGGTGTCGCCTGGCCACGGTGCCACGGCTGATCCTGGGGCCCGAGGCGGCCCTGGCCCAGGGGGCTGGGGGCCCGCCGCCCACCTACCCAGCCAGCCCCTGCTCGGATGGCTACCTGTACATCCCACTGGCCTTTGTCTCCCTCCTCTACCTCCTCTACCTGGCCGAGTGCTGGCACTGTCACGTGCGCTCCTGCCAGGCGCCGCGCACCGACGCCAACACCGTGCTCGCCCTGATCCGCCGGCTGCAGCAGGCGCCGCCCTGCGTCTGGTGGAAGGCCACCAGCTACCACTACGTGCGGCGCACCCGCCAGATCACCCGCTACCGCAACGGCGACGCCTACACCACCACGCAGGTCTACCACGAGAGGGCCGACAGCCGCTCGGCTCGGGGCGAGTTCGACTACTCGGCCCACGGCGTCCGCGACGTCTCCAAGGAGCTCGTGGGCCTGGCCGACCACGCGGCCACGCGGCTGCGCTTCACCAAGTGCTTCAGCTTCGGCAGCGCCGAGGCCGAGGCCTCATACCTCACGCAGCGGGCCCGCTTCTTCAGTGCCAACGAGGGCCTGGATGACTACCTGGAGGCCCGGGAGGGCATGCACCTGAAGGACGTGGACTTCCGCGAGTCCCTCATGGTCTTCGCCGACCCTCGCAGCCCGCCGTGGTACGCGCGCGCCTGGGTCTTCTGGCTGGTGTCGGCGGCCACGCTGTCCTGGCCGCTGCGCGTTGTGGCGGCCTACGGCACGGCCCACGTGCATTACCAGGTGGAGAAGCTCTTCGGCGCCAGCTCGCCCGCACCCGGGGCCGGGCCCAGCGGGCCCCCGCTCTCCCGTGTGGCCACGGTGGACTTCACCGAGCTTGAGTGGCACATCTGCTCCAACCGGCAGCTGGTGCCCAGCTACTCAGAGGCCGTGGTCATGGACGCCAGCTCGGGCGCCTACCTCCGTGGCTGCCAGCGCTGCCGCCGCTCCGTCAGCAGCAACTCGCTGCCTCCCGCCCGGCCCAGCGGGCCCCGCCTGCCTTTTAGCCGCAGCCGCCTCTCACTGGGAGCCGGGGGCCGCGCCACGCCGGGGGTCTTCCGAAGCCTAAGCGGGGGGCCGCTGGGGCGCCGTGGAGAGGACACGGAGCCCCTGGAAAGCCCACCGTGCTATGAGGACGCCCTTTACTTCCCCGTGCTCATCGTTCACGGTGACAGCGGCTGCCAGGGGGACGGGCAGGGTGCGCTCTGAGACCCACGCGGCCCCCACACTGGCCCTCCCCCCACCATCCTACCACAGGGCTTCCATGCCTGAGTAATTGTTATCCAGAACAGGAGGGAAGACAGACCAGCACACAAGGGATGGGGTGGGGTTGGAGCCCTTAGGCTAACATGCAGGGACCCACGGTCATTTTGGGGGCGGAGGGACACCACTGCGGTTGGGTCTACGAACCGTCCCAGCATGGCTCCCCTCCAACCACCACCACGTCCCACCCCCTGCGATGGCGGACGACCTAGCCTGGGGGCCTCTCAGGCTGCGCAGGGAAAGAAGTTTCCAGAAAGCCTGGGCTGGGGGAGGAGTCCCAGAGACAGCTGTTGCCTGCAGCAGAGGGCTGCCTGTGGACTCTTCTCTGCATGGCTGAAGCCACGGCAGGGGCCCTCGAGCAACCCAGAAGCACAAATCGGTGGTTTGGGGCCACCCAGCTGGGCTGGCATCCACGAACCTGAAGAGCCGGCTACGGCAGCACCACGGCCTCGGCCCCACTACGCTCCCAAAGTCCCCATCCTCCTTCCCTGACAGGCCCGTCCCTGCCTGCCCTCTGGCCTCTGCTCAGGGCCAGTCCCTGATCAGACCCTGTGGCGCGGCCCCTCTACCAGGAGCCTGGTTCTTGGAGCACAGCCCTGTCCCACCCCACCCCCCTGTCTTCCCTGGTCCACCCTCCCCTGCACATCCAGTCACCCCTGTAACCCGGGGTTCTTTCCCAGGGCCCCATCCCAATTCCATATTCTCTGGTCTCTGCTCCTGGCCCCAGAAGTCCACGTCCGCCTCTGTCAGCCGCGCACACACCTTCCAGGCTGTGTCCTCTCATCGCCCCCTGACTTCTCTGCTCTTTACCTTCCTGATGACCCACGGGGCTCAGGGCTATCGGGCATCCGAGAGGCCTTGGCCTCGGCCACAGCCTCTTGGACGATGCCCTTGCTCTGCCATGGAGGCCCCTGCTTCCCCCGTCCCTGGGGCTTGGCCCAGGGGACACCAGCCCTCCCCCAGGGAAGAGAGAGTAGTCCCTTCCCTTCCAACTGGGGCTTCCACCCGCTCTCATGGGCCGGTGGGGGAGGGAGGAGGCAGAGAAGATGCAGCTAAAATAAAAGGTATGAAATGGAACATCTTCTCACGTACATTCCTGGGTGGTGGGTTCAAGGCCACTACAACAAACACAGTGGGCCACGTTGGGTCTGGGAGGGGATGCGGGGTGGGGCTGCAGCGCCCCCAGGAGCGGGCGAGCTCCCTGCCTGGCCTGGGCTCTCTGAGGCTCAGATGTACATTGCTCTGAGCAGCTGACTCCAACCGACCGGTGTCTGGGTCACTTCTAAGAGACTGTCCAAATGGCCCCTCCTCCAGCCCAGCAGCGGTTTCCATTCTGCTGCTGGGTGTGCTGAGGACTAAGGGAGTGTGGCTGGTCCCCAAAGTGGGAAGGAAGAGGTATGGCCTGTGGCGCAAATTCAGTTCCCCTGATGGCTGTTGGTGTCATGGATCTGGGGGAATGGGCACTGAGCAGGTCAGAGGACGCAAAGCTGGAAACAGCCAGCCCCAAATCAGGGCATGGGGTCTGAAGATGGAAGAGGGCAAAGGAAGGGCCTCCCCCAGTGGTGGAGGTCGAGCGGCCCTTGAAAGTGACATCTTCCTGTACAGCTGTGCAGGGTGTTCACTGTGCAAGAGGCAAGTGTGGGTGGAATCCCACCTGTGGGCCACTCCTCAAGCCCTGGCATGAAGCTGCATCCACTTGGATGAAGGGCACCCTTTTCTAATCCATGCAAAGGCACCATAAGGGCCAGTGGTGGCCCTAGAAGAGTGCTGAGAATGGATGGGATTCCCCCAGGCAGAGACAGGGCGAAGGGTGCTCTGGGCAGTGGGAGCTGCCTGCACAAGGGCTTGGGTGCAGGGCATGAAGCAAGGGTGGAAGCAGAGCTGTGGAAGAGGTGGCTGAGGCCTTCAACACCAATCCCTTAACTGGGGGATTGCCCTTAAACTGGGGCAAACTGGAGCCCTGGAAGGTGGTTGAGCAGGGAAGTGACAAGCTCAGGACTGCATATTAGGATTTTTAGCAGAATTCCAGCTGCCTGCTGGCCACATGGGGAGGGTGGAGTTAGAGACCAGAGCTTTCCCTGTGCATCAGCCCACTGCCTCACAGTGGGTGAAGTCAAACCTTTGTTCAGAAGCAACTTAGGTGGAAAACTCCGTGGTGCCCAAACATTCAAGGAGGCTGCAGCAGGCAGGGGGGCAATGTGTGGCTCCAGCTCGTCCCCATGGGGAAGATTTCCCTCTTCCATCATCCTGCTCTAACACCTCAGCCACTGATGGCCCACCAACCATTATCCATTCTCCCCTCCTCAATACCAGAACCCCAGTTTTACTTTACATAGCGATGAGCCCAGCTAAAAGGCAATATTTCCAGCCTCCCTTGCACATATGGTGTGGCTGTGTGACCTAATTTTAGGGTATGAGATATACGGAGAAGGTCTTGGAAGGGATTTCTAAAAATGCTCCTTGAAATAGAAACAATATCGGTGAAGGCTAGTTCTGTCCTCTCTGCTTCATCCTGCATTCCACCTGGAGTGCAGATGTGATATTTGGAACTCCAGTAGCTACTTGGGACCTGGAGATGACCTTGAGAATTGTAGCCATGTGCTGAGGATAGCAGAGAAGCAAGATAAAAGACCTGGGGCTGGGAATTCCCTAATGGTCCAGTGGTTAGGACTCTGAGCTTCCACTGCGGGGGAGCACAGTTTCGATCCCTGGTCAGGGAACTAGGATCCTGCATGCCGTGCGGCGTGGCCAAAAAAGGAAAAAGACCCTAGGCTTCTGATGACACCATAGGTGTGTCCACATCATCCCTGGGTTGCCTGCTTCCAAACCCTCTCAGTGAAAAAGAGAAATAAACCATTAGTTTGTTTAAGCCACTGTTTTTTCTTGTCTCTATTACCAGCAGCCCATATTATTACCTATTTACTGCTGCATCACAAATTACCCCCAAACTTAGCGGCTTACAACGTCAATAATCATTATTATCTCTCCTGGTTTCTGTGGGTCAAGAATTCAGACATGGCACAATGGGAGTGGCTTATCTCTGTTCCATGATGTCTAGGGCCTCTGCTGGAAGAATCAAAAGCCAGGAATCATCCATAAGGCTTGTTCATTCACATGTCTGGCAGTTGATGCTGGCTGATGGCTGAGGGCCTAACTAGGGCTATTGGCTGGAACACCAAAAGAGGGCCTCTCCATGTGGCTTGGGCTTCCTTTTAACTTGGTGTCTAGGTTCCAAGGACAAGTGTACCAAGAGAGTGGAGGCTGTATTGCCCTTTGCGATCTAGCCTCAGAAGTCACATGCATCACTTCTGCCCCTTTCTATTGGTTAAAGCTATTACAAAGGTCCACCCAGTTTCAAGGTGAGGGAACATAAGACCCCACCTCTCGCTGGAGGCTTGTCAACATCACATTGTAAGATTAGCATGTGGGATGGCAGATATATTAGTGGCCATCTTCAAAAATGCAATTGGCCAATGAGCCAAATGCCATTCCTAACAAATCAACATCTATAGACTGGTCTGAAAAATTAGCACCAACTGTTTTTTTTTGTTTTGTTTTGTTTTGTTTTGTTTGTTTTTGGGGGGTTTTTTTGGCTGCACCGTGTAGCTTGTGGGATTGACCAGAGGTTGAACCCAGGCCTCGGCGGTAGACCGCCAGGGAATTCCTGAACACCAACCATTTTATAATGCTTGTTTGAGGGAGAAGGTGGTGGTATATCAGATGTGGGCCTACTAGGGGCAGAATGACATGCTTAGGTCATTTATTTGGGCCCTCTAGCCTACAGTAGATTAAATATGGCCACAAACTCTTCGTAGCTCATCCCCGCAAGAGGTGGAATCTATTTCCTTGCTCTCTAAACCTGGGCTGGCCTTATGACTTGCTTTGTCCAGTAGAATGTGGCAGAAGTGAGGCTGCACAGCTTTGGAGGCTAGGCCTCAAGAGGACTTGCAGCTTCCACCTGTGCTCTCTTGGAGCCCCGAGACCACCAGGCTGTGAAGATGCCCAGCCTAGTCTCCTGACAGATGAGAGGTCACATGCCCCAGACAAGAGCCCGGACATGCCAGCCCAAATGGAGCCACACATGACTGTAGCCACAAGAATGACCCCCAGGTAAGAGTAGCAGACTAGCAGACGAACCACTGAGCTGATCCCAGCCCAAACTGCTGACCTACAGAATGGTGAGAAATAAGAAATCCTTGTCGTTTCAAGCCACTAAGTTTTGGAGTGGTTTGTTACATGCAATGAATGGATAGCTGATACAGGCTCTGAACCCATTTCCACCTCTTACTGCAGGGTCACTGGGCCTGCACAGCCTGGTGAAACTGGAAACCCCAGTGTCTGCTGGACAGCTCCCATCTGGTGGTCTGGTGTCTCTCGTTCACATGTTTGGTCTCTATTTGAGCCAACAGTGAACCAGGATACCCCATTCTAAACCATTCTCAAAGGAGAATAATGGCTGAGGAAGGGGGCAGAGCTTTGTCCCCAGATCCCAGAGACCTCTGCCTCTGCTCTCTGATCGAGGCCTGACTCGGCTCCACACAGCACGGCTGAAACAAGGTGCCCGATCTCCACACCCCCAACCCTGCTTCTCTCGATCTTTTCCATCTCAGGAAATAGTGTCACCACTGTTGCTTAAGCCAGGCGCTTGTATAGCAATCTTCGTCTTCATAGCTTTTTTTTTTAAACTTTGTATTACGTAAAATTTCAAGGACCACAAAAGTAGAGAGATTGATGCAACAAGGCCCTTTGTCTCCAGCACCCAGCACCGCAGCCATCGCCCACCAGGACCAGTCTTATTTCACCCACACCCCCCCGCCCCACTTCTCCCCGCTCCAACTGGACTATCTTGAAGATCTGGAAGTTGTAAAATTTGATCCATGAACACCTCCCTCACCCCTGACGTGACATCTACACCCAGGATTCTGCCTACAACACATCTCTCTAAACACCCCCAGTCCTCTCCAAGCCACCACCTTGCTCCAGGTCCCCCTAGGGGGTCCTCTTCCAGTGACAACCTTGGACTCCAACAAGCCTCCCCTTCCTCGCATCCCCTCCAGCCCATGCCGAATCACCTTAAAATATAAACCAAATCACATCTCCACCTCACTCAAAATATACCAGTGCCTCAGGACTTCCCTGGCGGTCCAGCAGCTAAGACTCTGTGCTTCCACTGCAGGGGGCACGGGTTCCATCCCTGGTCAGGGAAGGAAGATCCCGCATGCCACGTGGTGAAAAAATATCTATATCTATATCTATATCTATATATCAGTGCCTCAAGGAAAACCCAGACTCCTGCCCTGGCCCTCAGACCCCTGTGAGGTCTGGCGGACATCCCCAAGCCCCCCTCTCATTTTGGAGCTCCAGCCACGGTGGCCTCGTGCCTGATCCTACAACAAACCAGGCTCCTTCCCGCCTCGAGGTCTCGGCACATGCTGTGCTAGCTCCAGGAGCCTTCCTCATCCCCAGCTCTTCTCGAGATGCCCTGAACACTCTGTCTGAAGCCATCCACTGTTCTACCTCAGATCCCTTTGCATTTCCTTTCTGCCACTTGCCATAAGTGGCAATTATTTTTATTTATGTATGCATGAGTTTATTATTTGTTTCTTCTCTTAGAATTAAGCTATGGGAGGGAAATGGTAACAGGTGCAAAACTTTCAGTCTGACGGAGTTCCAATTCTGCCACTACCACCTGAGTGGTCCTGGGCAAGTTACTTATCCTCTCTCTCAGCTACAAAATGGGAGATAATAATAGAATCTTCTGGCTTCCACGGGTTGTCATAAGGATTAAATAAGATAATATGCCACCATCATAAGATTGTAAATCAACTATAAAAATAAATAAGTAAATAAAATCACAACAGTATTAAAAAAAAGATAATATGCCACCATGCTAAAAACAGGGTTTGCAGCATAGCAAGTGCTCAATAAATTTAGCTATCATTACCATTTGTACTATTATTGTTATTAATTATAAATAGGTACTGCAGGGCTTCCCTGGTGGCCCAGTGGTTAAAAATCCGCCTGCCAATGCAGGGGACACGGGTTTGAGCCCTGGTCGGGGAAGATCCCACGTGCCT